CCTCGGCTCCAACAACGGAAACCAGAACGGTAACGCCAACGCCGGCTCTGCCAACGGTGTCGCCGACGGTAACGCCAACCTGGGTTCGGGCAACGGCGACAACAACGGCAACAACAACCCTGGCTCTGCCAACGGTGTCGCTGACGGTAACGCCAACCTGGGCTCGAACAACGGCGACAACAACGGCAACTCCAACACCGGTGCTGCCAACGGTGTCGCTGACGGCAACCTGAACGCTGGCTCGGGCAACGGTGACAACAACGGTAACCACAACTCGGGTGCTCTCAACGGTGTCGGAGACGGAAACGCCAACCTTGCCTCGGGTGCGGGTAGCAACAACGGCAACAACAACTCGGGCTCGGGCAACGGCATCCTTAACGGCAACCTGAACCTTGGTGGCGGACAGATTGGGTCGAACAACGGTAACGACAATGCTGGATCCGGTAACGGCTCTGCGGATGGAAACGGCAACCTCTCGCTGGGCAACAACCAGGTTGGCAGCAACAACGGCAACGCCTCGAGCGGCAGTGGTCAGGGAACGGGTAACGGCAACGCGAACCTGATTCTCGGCAGCGGCAACTCGGTGGGAAGTGGAAACTCGGGCTCGGGCAACGGTAACGGCAACATCATCATCGGTAACGGCCAGACCGTCGGCTCCAACGAGAGCGGCAGTGGACATGGAAACGGAAACGTCATCGTCGGCACGGGACTGGGACTTGACCTGGGTCTCCCCGGTACCGGTGACAACTTCCACATCAAGCTCAGGAGGGGCGCTACTCCCATCGGCGCCGCTAGGAGGTGGAACACCATCCGCGTCTAAACGCCAGTCGCGCAAGCAGTGGGGATTTACGGGCCTGCCCGAGCTAGGGAACGTGGCTACCGGATCCTCAACCCCCCCAACAACCCTTTCTCTTTTGACAACACACAACACTCTTTTGATGGCGTCTTGAACACTTTCGTTTGTTTTTGGAAATGGTAATCCAGTTCGGTCTTAACTTGATCCTTGCTCGAATGTTGGAGTGCAAAGCGAGCTTGGCGAGAGTGAGAGGATTTGACCCTGCGATTGCATTGGCTGCCAGCAACGGGTGGCGATGCATCGGATTGCAAATCTTCTGCCGACGGACACAAGACATCTTGCCCACATGCGCACAACCTTGCGCAAGATGAAAACCCAGAGATGGAGCGCGAGATGAACAAGACGCCGTGTTGGACGTGCGACAGGATGGCGACGCGACCACACATTCACCACTGAGCTCCGCATCGCTTTGATATGCCCCATCTTCTCATGATGCCATC